GGAGCCATGTGCGGAGGCGCTGGGCGGAGCCGCTGGGCGGAGCCATGTGCGGAGGCGCTGGGCGGAGCCATGTGCGGAGGCGCTGGGCGGAGCCGCTGGGCGGAGCCATGTGGGCGGAGGCGCTGGGCGGAGCCGCTGGGCGGAGCCATGTGCAGAGGCCCTGGTTGTCCTGGGTTTGGTTCCTGGTCTCGGACCGTTTGCTGCCTGTTTTCACCTTCTCTCTCTACCCTGTTTCCAGAGGATTTACTGTTTCTAAAAGGTCAAGAAAGCCACTAAATCTTAAAAAAATAAAAACAAACGAAATAAAAATAGAACATGAAGTTTATTTTTTGAACTTATGTGAAAAAGATACTAACAGCTCGAATCATAATGTCAAAACTTTGGTTTTTACAGATCTCTGCGGTATAACTTGCATAGGGTAAAATAAAAGTAAAAACATAAATATATATATTAAAATATTTATACAGGAACAGTTCTACAGTAGAACTAACTGCTAAATATTTCTACTCTGTTGTTCTGGTCTTTGTCAAAGACCAGCTAATTTTTCACTAGCTAATTAGCTGCTTTAACTAGTTTAATCTGAGTTAACAGAGCTAAAAGGCTAATTAGCTTGTTAATCAGGTTATCTTGCTATAAAATTAAGACAGTATTCAATGAAATTCAGCACAAAGAGCCACGTTTACGTAACTAAAGCTCAGTATTTGAAGGTTACAGTTCTCTCTCAGACAGAAGCAGAAGTGGGATGGAAGGTGCCAAAAAGCACAGGCCAGACGGGGTGGTCCGGAAACGGCTTGGGGATCCAGTGAAACTTAACAAGCATGTTCCCGTTGGATGTTAAAATGAAGTGTAACACAGATATTAATGTAGCAAGTATCACAACACAGCAGAGGAATGCAAACTGGAGCACTGGGACATCAAGCTGGACGCGAACCAACTGCAGCCAAATACCCGTGTAGTCATAATAGCTCAAACTGCACCAGTCCTTCAATGGCCAGCCAGTTTCAAGCGTTACGTTTTCAGCACAGCTGGCCAGGAGTGTTTTTAAAATGAGTCCTTCTGCGGATGGAGGTGTATAGTTACTCATCTAGGGAGGGAGTGGGGCTTCGTGTTGGGATAAATCACTGGTAGGGGTTTGGAGTCCATGCTTGAATCTCATATCGTTACTCTGCTGTTTACCGTTCTTTAGCACTTATGAGTGTGAATACACTTTTTTCATTAAGGAGGCCAGTCAAGGGCACAAACTGTAGCACGGTGCCACACTAAAAAAGCAATTTCTGCAGTCTTGGATTACAATAAACAGTGAGCCAAACTTGAATAACAAAACCATTTACTTTCCCAAACTACGCTAAGCTGAACAGGCTAATTATGTGACTAGGGAAATTAGCCCGTGCCATCAGCCACTGTAGCAAACTGATCTACTGTGTAGTTTTTGCATACTATGATTAGCCTGTGCAGCTTACGTGGTTAGCATCTCGTCTTTTGTACATTTTTTTATGTTGCTCCGGTATAAAGGGAAACGCTCCTTATGACATAATGATACAAATCATGTGTGAGAATTCAGGCAAAGTCTGTAATTTGATCAACACGTCAGGAAGGAGGTGGTATGGGTCGGTTTCTAAGCTAGCTGTTTCCAAATGTTTTTAATACCGTCGTCTGTGAACCCAACCAGATGTGTTACCTTCACAGACACATTAGCTCAACTCAAACAAGAGAAGCCATGAATAAACTGACAGAAACAACTTTGGAAAACCATTTCAGTCGCTCTGTTCAATGCTCCCGACGTCCATCTTGGTGTCTCGAATGATTAAATGACATAGTTGCAAAGACTCTATTTGTAGCACTGCTATGCTAACTATAGTCAACTTAAGATTACAAAATGCAAACAACTGTTTAATTGGCCCCCTTTTCTCCTTTATGACGAGTTTTTTTGTCCAACAGTCTGATGGTGCTTTTTCATCTTTCCATTATCAAACATTATAGATGAGATGCTAATTAGCTGCATGGCTATAATCTAATGTGTTTAACAACAAAAAAAATATTAATGGTGGTTGTTAAACAACAAAAGGAGTATTTAATTCCTCTAGTAACAAGGAGTGTGAACCAAACACTAATGATATGGGCAAACTGATTGACGGCTTTAGACTGACCAATCAGATTCCATGGGTAGTCAATGCCCCATTGTGAATAAACTAATAAACTCATTAAAGTTGCCTCTTGATGTTCTGTTTGTGTATTTTTTAGAGGTGGCCATCCTCTGGGCTGCTCACCAGGTTCACCACAGTTCAGAGTACTACAACCTGACCACGGCGCTCAGACAGTCTCTCACCCAGCAGTTCACCTCTTGGGTAAGACTTTTACTTGTTCTCTTCTAGTACAACTCAGCAAGTCCAATATTAACAGAAAAATAAACATCGTCCCCATAGCCAGAATTTTTTTCTTCCAAATGTTCATTGTTGTTCATTAGTGAAATCACACATCTAGTTTATTTATCTGCTGCTGTAAATAATCACTAAAGCTCTAAATCTGCAAACAATGAAACCTTCAAATGCTCCAATTTGAGTGATGCTTCGAAAGCTGGAGCGATAAATCTGTTCACACTGAAACGTTTTGGTACTGAATGAATACGGTGTTGTTTTAAACACGACCAGAACATTTAATGTCTGGGACTCCGCGTTCCGCCCGGTGGCTTTAAAACGCGACACCAAAACAAATCAGAGCAGGAGAACTCCCAGCTACCACTGAAGCCTGATGTTTGTGAACATTACGGTTTCCTATTTGGCTGCGGTGACGACGGAGGGAAAAAGGTGGACCAAACCAAAGCTTCGTCAGTGTTTATCAACAGTGACGAGCGTAATTAAGTTCGCGCTTTACTTTACACATTACTGACCTGAATGACGTCATGTTAGACCAGCAGACATACGACCACACACCGGTGTTTAACTCTGTCCACTACATACACTGACTTATATTTAAAAACTCTAAAGAGACTTAAACAAACTTCAGCATCATGTTTTGAGAGTCTTATTTAAAAATTCTCTAGACGTGTGTTGGGACGAGCCGTTAGTTTCCATTGCCGACCTCTGCAATATGGCGGATGAAATTGAGAAAGTTGTTACTAAGTCTATTTCGGCTCGTCTGCTGGTAACAAGCTCATATAGGTTCTGCTCCGCTGGCGGCAAAAACAAGGAGGCAGGTGAAAGCTTGTACAACTTTATTCCTTTCCTTGGCAAGGCGAACAATGAGCTGCACAGCTAGAGTCTCTAACGCTCCCAGCTCTTCTTCTTCTTCCCCGCCCCTACCCGTTGCTCTCTACCGCCCCCTAGCTTCTGCAGTCATAACGGAGGCTCGGATTGTCGTTACTGAACATTTTGTGTTCCGTTTGAACAAACGGTGACAGCTGATAACGCTCGTTGAAGCCTCCTGCCTTCTTTTCCTCTCCCGGTTATTTTGAACAGTAGCGGATTAAATATTGAGATATCTCGGTTTTATTCACTAGAATATCGCTGTTTGAATTCACCAGATAATTCGGAGGTTTCGTGAGTTTCTCAAGCTTGCTGGGCGCTGCCGAGGGTTTTCATCAGCGCTGGTTTTGTCTCACCTGAGCCCAGTTTGATGACCTGCTAAGCCGCATCAGCGGCTGCAGAAATGGTTGACGCTCTGTGTCCAGCAGCAGAAGTTAAGATTTTCTAACTCCAGCGTCGTTGGACTCGCTTGGCCCGAGTCAAACGCTCAAAACATTAGACACGCAGACTCTGGATGTAAACCTGACGCTCAAATCACGTCACACCATTTGGCTAAAAAATAAATAGAGCCAGATAATGTTTTAAATATGCAGGTTTTTAACTAATCTTTTTTCCTGCACTATTTGCATTGAATTTCTACAAAATATGACGCTAAAAGTAACGGTAAGATGCTTTTAGGTCTGTTTCTTTCTTGTCATTAAGATGGAATCTGAGACTCTTTTTTTTAATTTTACATCATTTTACATGAAAGAGGTAAAAAAAAATCATAAAAATACTATCCACCCTATTCTTACAGAATTTTATGTTTATATTCATTTTAAATCCTAAAAATAGACATAAAAATGTGGTTATTTAAAAATTACAACAAATTTTAAAAAGAAAAGAATCTCAATAAGTAAAGGAGCTTGTTGAGTGATCCTGTCCTACAGCAAGTGTTTTCTAAAATTACACTTTCTCAGTCGCAGATTATATAATTTATAGACGCAACTCCACAGGTTTTATGTGTTTTATTGATGCCTCAAAGGCTTTTGATTGGGTTAATCATGAAACTGAGGCGTTCCCAGATCTGTCGTTAGAATTTTGTCCTTTTGGTACACGCATCAGCTAATGTACATAAGTTGGGGTAATTGTGTGTCAGCTCCTTTTAAAATAAGGAACGAGGTTAGACAGGGAAGCATTTTGTCTCCTCTTCTTTTTAATGTATATATGGATGATTTATCAAAGTGGCTACAGCACTGAGGGGCAGGATGTGTTGTTGGTGGGGCCATAACTAACCATCTGATTGATGATTTAGTTATTTTTAGTCCTTGTAATGCTGGTCTTCAACATTTATTGAGGACCTGCTCATAATATGGTCAGCAGTATGACATTATGTACAATGCAAAGCAGTTTGCAGAAACTCAAAGTGGCTTATAATGACGGAATGAGGATGGTGCTTAGGATGCCCAGATGGACCAGTGCTGGTCAGATATATCTCCACTTTTCATGCTTTTCTTACGAAACCTTATGCACAGGTTTATGTGGAGGTTGCCTGTTTCTACAAACAACATCATCCAGATACTAACGGATATCTCACACAGCTCAGTCAGGTCTAAGTCCAGAATGTGGAATGACTGGCGGTCTAGCCGTTCTGTAAATCAGTGACTTGTATATGTGATTATTGTCTTTGGATGTGATTCTTTTTTTATTTTGTTTTTATTATCTTTCTATGGACCTATTTGTGTCTTTAATAAAGCTGATGATAAAATGGAGTTTTCTGCTCCTGGTTGTGTATTAAATAGTTTGACATGGTGTCCTGTTTGTCTCTTTTGTCCACTTCAGATCTTCTACCTTCCCATGGCTCTCGCTGTTCCTCCCTCCGTCTTTGCTGTTCACATACAGTTAAACCTTCTCTACCAGTTCTGGATCCACACTGAGGTAATTATGACATAAATACAATAAATAAACAAACCTGTGGATTTTCTAAAAAAATGAGCTGCAGCAAAACACCTTGGATTATCCCAAAATGAGCTCAAATCTGCAGAAGATTTATATTTTTGTATTAATTTAGGTCTTAAATTAAAAAGCACATTTTTATTGGATGATTTTAAACATGGCAGTCAGAAATATTCTGCGGGGGGAAAACAGCATTACATTTTCTTTCTGTTCTGCGCTGTGTGAGCTTACCCATCCATTTCCTGTCGCTAGGCAGAGTTAATGTTTAACTGAAAACTCTTTAAAGTTATCTCTCTTCTTATGCCAGTTGCAATTTGTCGGTTAAGTCAGGCTTTCTCGTCTCGGCGGTGCAGTGTGGAACCTGTGTTCAATAAAAAATAATGAGATTTTATGAAAGATTCCAAACAGAAGCACAACCACTCTGTCTGCCTTTAAAGTGACTGGGAATATCACGTTTACAATCCCCAGGATCATTACAGGCACTGGGAGGATTTGGAACGCCCTCCCTCCATCTTTTAGTGCACTATTAGTGAAAAATGTCGTAATAGTCACAATTTTCTCAGAGGATGTAATTTATACCTCCTTTATAGACTTTAATTTTTTTTTTTTTTTGATGTAATGTAACTTTACTGGCCGCAGCTTCAGAGCTGAAGCGAAGCGGCGCTCTTTCATTCAAGATAAAACTCTCACGCTCAGCAGATGTTACATGGAAATAATGAAACATTCGGTTCAGACCGCACATGCATACATACCGAAAGATCAGATCAGGCTCAGACCAGTACAGAAATATGAACTGGGCTAAATTTGACTGATTGAAGTTGATATTGTGGGGGGAAAAAACAATTAAAGCTGTGATGTTTCAGATCTTCTTATTCGTAGCGATAGTGTTGCCAGAATCATTACATACGTGACTGAAGAACGTAGCAAACATGCATTTAGAGCCACTCAAACGTATTACAATATACAAATTTTATTATACATATACACCTATTAATACACCTATAATACTGAAAGAAAAAATAAATAAAATGCACCAATTTTTGTTGCTTTTTCAACAAGATGAAAAAAGTTTAATTAAAAGTGAAACTAGAAAACAAACCTTCATTCACATGCGTCTCGTCTTGAACATAAAGGAAGATTCATTTGTTTGGATAAACCTTTAATTGAAGTGGTCTGATAAGACTGACATAGACCTGTCATAAACATGAAGGAGTTTTCCTAAATGTTTACGAATCTTGAAGTGTCATTCCGTAAATAATGACACTTTTAATGCTAAGCTGCACTGAAAGTCTATTAAAAGCGTCAACTTTGCATTAAAAATGTCATTATTTGCCGAACGACACTCATGTTTATGAGAGTGTCATGTCAGTTTTGTGCACACTCCTTAAAATAGCATCTTACCAATTGTTTGTTTCACAATACTTACCGAAGATCATTATGTTCATTCAGAAATTACAATAAAATTTGATTTGTTGTTCATTTGCTTCTCATTACTGGGTTAAAACATAAGTTCCCACAGTTTTAGCAGCATTTTTGTTTCCTTGTTGAATCAGCACTTCCAAATAAAATGATTATTTGATCCTCTGCTGTCGTTTTGACGAGCCAAAACGGTAAAAACACATCTGCTGAGGTCATGTTGTAAATGTATGTTTCATTATTTGAAGTGAGAAAAACTTAATTTATGTCATTTTATGCAAATAAGTGTTCAGAATTGTAACTTGGAAACTGAAACATTGTTGTTAAAGAAGAAACTTTCATACCTAATGCTTTGTTTTGTATATTTTTTATTATGCTTAACCAGCTGTTTGTGTGAGAAGATCGAAGTCATCCAAGTGCATTAATTACACCCGACCACATAATAAAAGCAGCAGCAATTCTGGTTGCAGAAATTAATCTACAAACTGGAAACTATGGCAACCATGCCCAGAGACTGGGAACTACTGGGTGTGAGGGCAGAGCTAAATTTAGCTCAATTTAAGTTCATTACTTTTGTTTTCTGCAGCACAACTTCAAAACAAACGTGACAAACAGCTTTAAAATCATACTGAAAACAATGAGATTCAGTTCAAATTGACTCAAATCAATCCAGTTCATTCTAGTCTAGCCGAGTTAGCTTTAGACTGAAGGAGGAAATATGCAGGTGGTTGATCAATTAACTTATTTATTTCAAACAAAAGATTCATGGCCACCTCTGGATCAGCGATGTGCGGTCAGGGGAGAACTCTCCTGTAATCCTGAAAAGTAAAATAGATGCTAATAATGATCAGAGAACATCACATTTTTTGTATAAATTAGTTTTTTTTATTTGTAATGTCAAGAACATCGATTTTTTTTTATGGTTAAAATGACATTTATTAGTCACATTTCCTTTGAAATGTGACTAATAAATGTCACATTTATTATTTTTTTGGGCTTTGCAAGATTTACAGAAACCTTTTGGTTTCTTAGTGCCCCTCTAGTTTCTATGTGGGAAAACAAAAACTGTGCAAAGATAACGGCAGCCATATTAATAACATCCATTCATTGTGTTGTACTGGAAGAAGAAAATATTTTATAGGAAATTACCCTCTGGACATTTTCTTTCATGGTAAAATACCTGTCAAAAGTTTTATTTAAAAGATCATCAATGTGAAAAATCCGTGACATTTTGCAGGTAATCAGAGACCTGGGACCTCTGGAGTGGATCTTCAACACGCCCAAACATCACAGAGTTCATCATGGTGAGTCAGTCAGACGGTCAATCATGTCTTAAAGTTTTATAATTATGTTCCCATCACAAAATGTGACTTCAACAGGAAGAAACCTTTACTGCATTGACAAGAACTATGGAGGAATCCTCATTATTTGGGACAGATTGTTCGGTAAGAAAAGTGATAATTGTCTTCATTTCACTCCTTCTTACCTCCTAATTTGATGTCCTGAATGTAAATATAACCTACTTGTTTGTTTTTTTTGTCATTTTTTCTTTTTATAACCTTAAAGTAAAACTATGCATGTAATTTTAAAGTATTGCTGCAGCTTCCAGTCAGGTGTATTCAGTCAGGTTTGATGTCTCTACTGGCCTGTCACTTCATCCCAATGGAAAATATAAGTTTATGGATCATTACTTTAATGATAAACTGAACATAGAACGAAGAATTAGGAAAAGATTTCTAGTGTTTTATACTCTAAGTCAAAGAGCCATTTTGCTCTCAGAGCAGATAAAAAAACTTTAGAGCTTACACAACTTTTACAACTTACACAACTTTTTGCAAAAACAGTTAAAAAACACATTTGATGTGTACTTTGTTAATGTGAAGCCCTCTGAACTGCCTTGTCGCTGAAATATGCAGCATAAATGAACTTCATTGATCAAATTTAGATAAAAATCTACTTTAGAAAATGTGTTCTAGTATTTAAAGAACACCAATTTCATCTCTATTTCTGGGGTTTAAAGTAAAGATGAACATAAAATTTAGCAAAAGAGAGGATGAATATTATTTTTGTAAAATAAAAACGCACAGATTACAACCCATTGACAAGAAAAGGTTATTAAAAGCATAATACTGGTACTTTTAGTGCAGAAATTCAATGCAAATATTGCAGAAAAGAACACTAAAAACATATAAAAACCTGCATTTGTTGTTATACACACACACACACACA